CCTGTCTGTCTTCCCTGGACCGACCTATCCCCTCCCTAACTCCCCACCTACACTCACCTTTACTAGTTTCAAACCCACCTCTTTGACCTGTCTATCTCCTCTCCACCTATCTTCTCCTTTATCCATCTTCTTTCTGCCTCCCCATTTCTCCCTATTTATTTCAGAATCCCCTTCCCCTCCCCCATTTCTGAAGAAGGGTCTAGACCCGAAACGTCAGCTTTCCTGCTCCTCTGATGCTGCTTGGCCTGCTGTGTTCATCCAGCTCTACACCTTGTTGTCTCAGATTCTCCAGCATCGGCAGTTCCTACTATCTCTATTAAACACTAACCAGTTTTTATATACCACTCAAATTTTTTAAAATATCAAATTAGAAATACAAAGACCAAAGATCCAAAGCAGTGAACTGAATAATATTGTGGATTACTGACAATAGTACTATTGAAGCAATTACAACTTTGGGTCGTATTTTTGCTGCTACAAAACAATTGAAACTGATTGGAAGGGAGTTTTCACCTCAAGCTTTTAATTTCCCAGCCCCATTGGGCATTCCTTTTGTGCATCTGCTGCTGGACCTGAAGAAAGCAGTTTATAGAGGTCATCGCCAGGATGTGTGCAATTACTGTGGAAGCTCCTGTCACTGATCATGCATGTTTTAATTTCATTGAAACTCATCAAATAAGATTAAAGGTTGTTGCTCTATCTCTGGAGAGATGACAACCATAGAGCAGAAACTTTGTGCCATCTGATTAACTAATATGGTCATTTTGTTATTGATCCATGATTTGAATTATAATATTGTTACCCACAAGAGCTTTGGGGATGGAATTCACTCTGCTATGTATGTAACTTAAAATTACATAGGACAACAGTGGGAAATAAAACCAGCTCGTCACTTTCATCTCTTTATCCAAATTATAGTTTGCTCTCTGGGACACCTGTTGATTACTTCCATCCTAACCGTTATATGCACATTACAGATGCCCAAAATGACCAGTGCTCTTGTACACCATGCTCGTGCTGCTCCCCAGGTACGCAAATGCAGAAAGCTGAGGTAAAAGACAGGCAACGTTTTTAACACAGAGTGTAGAATGAATTGCCACAGAAAGTGGTGGATGCAGGTACAGTTACAATGTTTAAAAGACATTTGGATAAGTACATGAATAGGAAAGGTTTGGAGGGATATGGGCCAAGTGCAGGCGGGTGGGACTAGTTTAGTTTGGGATTCTGGCTGGCGTGGACTGGTTGGACCGAAGGGTCAGTTTCCATGCTATATGACTCCATGGCTTTATGACCAGTATTTAATCTGGACCCAAAGTATACTCTCTAATTGTCTTTGGTCAGATTGATGTTTATTAGCTAATGATATTTGCTGTGTAGATCTGAATCTGCCGACAATTGCACCTCACCAACAGCAATGCAGAACCAGTGAAAGTCTGTGCTAAACAAACACATTGCCATTGTGGTTATTTGCTCAGTCGTTGAATTAACTATAGCTGAGTGGGTGAGCTAATTGCTGCATGGTAGTTTTAATGTCCAAAATTGGAAAACTGCTTCATCTTTCCCCTAAAAACCCATCAATTAAGTATTAATGGGTCCTAACGGACAACGGTAGATTCCCTTTTGAAAATGTAATTTAAGAATTTCCCTCACCCTATTTGTGTGATCAGATAGACAAAAGGGAGTGAAAGTAGAGATTGTAAAACACTGAGCAAGTTCAGATATTTTTCAATTTATAACTAATTTAAATGTACGCTGCTGCTGCTGCAATTACCATTAAACAGGAGAGTAAGTTTCAGAATACAAATGGAACTGAAACATTAAATTGTTCCTTTGCATGCCAGGCAGTTAGGAAAAAAATGTTATAAGCAGTCTATGCTCCTCTAGGATTGAACAGATAGACTGAAATGGCCTTAGGCAAACTTATACATTTCTTTTTCCTGATAAATGATGTTATTTATTTTTTTTTATTTTAAGACCTCAGGCTTTAAACAGTCTATCATTGTTAAGCCAAGCATTAGTCATTATCATAGAGTCATTTATAGCACAGGATAAGGCCATTCAGTCTCTGCTGGATCCCTGCAGAAGCATCCAGTCATTCCCACTTGCCCACTTGATCCATGCAGCTTTGCAAATTTATTTCCTTCAAGAATCCATCCAATTTCCTTTTGAAATCATTGATTGTCTTTGCTTCCACCTTCATAGCCAGTGAGTCCTTTGTGAGTACAAAAGGATCAAACCCACGTTCTCCTTGCAAAATCTTAAATCCTGTCCCCTAATTCCTTGTACCATCAATTTATGGGAAGGCATTTCCTTTTTGTACTTTATCTAAGCTGGTCATAATCTTGGAGAACTCTATTAAATCTCCTCTCAATATTCTTTTATCCAAGCAAACTAACCTCAGCCTTTCCAACCTAATCTTGTAAGTGAACATGATCCTCCTCCACCCAAAGCCCCCATCCTGGAACCATTCCGGCAAATCTCCTCTGCACCCACTCAAGGAAGTTACTGTCTTCACCAAAGTGTGGTGACCAGAACTGAACATCCAGCATATAAACTGAAGTCCTGCTGACTGTGTGCACTTCCAGTAAAATAGCAAATCTAAGGTAACCTGTGGTGATGCAAAGAATGCTCAGAAAAAAAAGAGGGAAAAGACGAATTTGTTTTCATGCAGAGCCTTTTGAATTCTCAGGATGTTCCTATCTACTGCATGATTAATGAAGTAGTTTTTCAAGTAACATTGCTGTTGTTATTCAAGGAAACGCAGCAGTCAGTTTGTGAATAAAAATGTTCTAACAACAGCAATAAATAAACCAGTAGTAATTCTGTTTTGAAGGGATTGATTGAGGGACAGAATTCCCTTGCTCCTCCAATCATGTATTCAGTGCCTTGGTTTAACATTTCACCTGAAAGCTGCAACTTCCCTGATGCGGATCTCCCTCAGTACCAGGTATCAGCCGTTGTGTGCTCACAAGTCTATTGGGTTATTAATTCTTTAACTTAGTGGCAAAAATGCTAGTCCTGACTCCAGCACTAGGCCAAGGGTTATTACTAAGGGCAATTTGAACATTTTCTCAAAAACCAAAAGAACTGCGGATGCTGTAAATCAGAAACAAAAACAGAAGTTGCTAGAAAACAGGTCTGGTTGCATCTATGAAGACGAATCAGTTAATGTTTTGGGTCAGGTGACCCTTCCTCAGAACTGGAACATTTTCACTGTGGAGCTACATTTCCAAATGCACAAGATACACTCTGCTCTGCACTCTCTCTGAGTGTGGCTTCTTGCTGACTATGCAAAGGTGGCACAATGGCTCAGTGGTCAGCACTGCTGCTTCATAACACCAGCGACCCAGGTTCAATTCCAGTCCTGGGTGATTGTCTGTGTGGAGTTTGCATGTTCTCCCCATGTCTGTGTGTGTGTTTCCTCTGGGTGTTCTGGTTTTCTCCCACTGTCCAAAGATGTTCCAGTTAGGTGGATGGACCATGCTAAATTGCCCCAAAGGGTCCAGGGATCTGCAGGCTAGGTGGATTAGCTAAAGGAAACACAGGGATAGGATTGTGGGTCTGGTTGGAATGCTGTTTGGAGGGACAGTGATGGGCTGAATGGCCTGCTTCCACACTGTAGGGATTCTATGCACAGATTGTTTAGCAGCACCACAGAGTGCAGACAATATCATACAGAAATATCAGTAAATACTCCACTTTATTTATGATGAACTATTAATTTATTTTTTGTTTTAACTTGTACATGCATTTGGGAAGGTCGTTTCTTTTAGAAAAGAACAACGATGTCACTTTTTGAAACAAGACTAATAGCAAATTAATCCTGGTCCCTTGCAACCATTTTGTGTACAAATTGTGCATAGCAAGCTCTTAGGAGTAACAGTGTCTAAAAAAAAGTAATGCTAGTTCAGATATTCAAGTTGGCCTAGACACTGGGGAGCACTTTTCTATGCTTCTTAAAGATATGGCACTATAGCATCTTGTACACTTATCCGAGAGGGCAGATGTCAGTTGGACATCTCACTGGAAAGGGGGCACCTCCAACAATATAGTATTCCCTCAGTGGTGTTGTGAAGTATGCCTAGACATCAGGTGTCTGGAGAGGGACTTCAACACACAATTTTTTGATGCAGAAGGCAGGAATGGCCAATGTTGCAATGCAAAACAACTGTCACTGCCAGGGATTCAGACAGGAGCAAATAGTGATTAGAAAATAAAGCCTGTGGAAATTCACAATTCACTTTACATATGCAGTAAATGTATCTGATTTTGTGAAAAGGGTCACATAGGGTCCCCGACTTTCTTTAATCATCGCTGTTATGATCACTGGAGCATCAAAGGTTGAGAAGTGATCTTATAGGGGTTTATAGAATCATGAGGGGTATAGATAGAGTTAATGATGTGTCTTTTCCCTAGAATGGAGTATTTCAAGACTGGAGGGCACATTTTTAAGGTGAGAGGAGAGAGATTTTTTAAAAAAAATTATGTGGGACTGTTTTTTAACAGAGTGAAATGAATTTCCTGAGGAAACGGTGGATGTGGGCACAGTTACAACGCTTAAAAGATATTTGGATAAGTACATGAATAGGAATGGTGTGGAGGGACAAAAACAGAAGTTGCTGGAAAATCTCAGCAGGTCTAGCAGGATCTTTGAAGAAAAAAATCATAGTTAATGTTTCCGTGCGGTGACCCTTCCTCAGAACAGGTTTGTAGGGATATGGGAATGGATGGAAGGATATAAGGTTTGCACGGATATGGGCCAGGAGCAGGCAGGCGGGAGTAGTTGAGTTTGCGATTATGTTCAGCATGGACTGGTTGGACCGAAGGAGCTGTTTTCCTGCCATATGAGAGAGAAGAAGTCCAGATGACTCTTCATTAGAGCTGCCCTGATGTGGACCAAGTAAATGTCAATCCCGTGCTGGTTTCGTTGTGATCCAGTCCGCGTGTTATGGCCGATATAGTATTGGAGGCGGTGCTCTCTGTCAATGGCACATCCAAGCTCAGGCAGGCAAACGTTTCTCTCCTGACTGGCGGAGTCACTGGCAGCGATACCAGCCCCCACCTCTTTCTCAAAACCTCCTCCGTTTGCAACCCAACCAGGACAACCCATTTTCCATGTTGCAGCTTCAGTCTTGTCCCGAGCTGGAGTATTGCAGCGGAACAAGAGAGGCAAAAGGAGTTTGAACAAATGGGAGCAACAACAACAGCAGCTGGTGTGTGTGTGTGTGTTTTTTTTAATACCTCATGCAGTGTTTTTCTTTTAGTGAGGATGATAATTTAAAGGGAGAGATGGAAAGTTAACAGCGCTGGCACTGTGGAAACGGAGTTGAATGCTGTTGGTTCACTCAGGGCAATGGGACTAAATTAAATTGTCCTTTTTCCCCCCCACTCCAAAATTAATCCATCAAATTCTCTCCCCAGTGCTGAATTGGTGAATGTGGAACCCTCAGCTCTTAGGATAAGCCCTACCCTTGTTACCATTTGGACGGTGGGATAAAGAGGTTTGCACGTTTGAACCTTGTTTGGTATAAACCAGGTACAGATTGAAAATCTTGCTGCCTGCCACAGTGATAGTGATACCGTTAGTCACCATCCGCAGAGAGAAAGTCGGGAGGTGGGGGGTAGTAATGTGAAGCAGTCCCGCAGTCCCACTGCTTTGAGTAGTATCACATTGGTCACAGATACAAGAACTGCGAGCCGGTGGAATGATAGCAGTTGTTTCACAGCCTTGTCAAGCTGTTATTTTCCCTGTTGGTTTTGCTCATCTGTGAAAGTAACTGACCCGTTTTACCTTCCACTTTTTAAATCACCCCCCTTTTCCCCCCCAGGCAGAAGGGGTCGGTCTTCAGCAAGAAGGGAATGAAGTTTGACTCTGGATCGGATCGCTGATAGCCCCTTTGCTCGGTGTTTATATCTGCTGCTGGATTGAGGATTGAACAGGTTCCCCCTCCTGTTCCCTGGACCATGGCGAAAAGTGCCGAAGTGAAACTCGCTGTCTTCGGGAGAGCTGGCGTGGGCAAGTCAGGTAAAACAAAAAGGACAAAATTAATCTAAATTTCGGGAGACAACCAAGTGGTTTCTTTGTTAAAATAAAAATAAGTCTACCCTCCCATTCATTTCTCAGCTCCCTTGATACAAGCTATGATCTGAATCACTAACATACCTGACTGAGTTACAATGCAAAAATGTGCCCATTCAAATCAACGGGGCCGGGGGTTTCGATTGAAATGTTGAATTCACAATTTCTCTCTATTATTAAATCCCAATTCACGAGAAGGGTCAGTGTGGAAGTCAGCTGCAGGTGTTGGTTGTTAGTGGAGGCGGATTGTCTGGCGGATTTGCTGTTGCCCATTCACTCAGACTGCCTTTCATAAAACCATTCCCTTGCCCTTGAGCCGCCCGCACTTGTTTTTATTTTACGGGCTGCACTCGAGTAGGAACAGAGCGCGGTCCATACGAGTGCCGGCTCACAGTGCCGTCTGTGGGCTGATGTTGCCACACCCTTGCGAGTTGGCACAAGTGGTTATCCCACTACCCCTCCCCGAAATGCGGAGGTTTTGTTGAATTATGTGCATTATCTATAGTAATCAATTGTTGGGGATGGAGTATGCAGAACGTGGGCAGTTTGGTTGGATTCATACAGGGCTCTGCGACAACCTGAGTAATATCCAAATCAGTGGAAGTTATCAGTCACATGGTATTTTGTAGCGAGGCTACGTAGAGATGTCCAACAAGTTCTCTAAACCTAATTGGCAAAATATGTTTCAGTCACTGCTCTTCTGTGAGACAAGTCTGAATTAAGGTTTAATTAATCCTTTCCACTTCATGAAAGGGCAGGGTCCCCCGTTGCTTGGTATCAAGCTACTGTTATGATCATATGTTTCTGTCAGTTCTTTAAATACTTTAGTCTGCATCCCTTGTGATCAATTTCCTTACACAGGTCCCCTTATCCTCAATCAAGTGATTTAACACATGGTAGAAAGATGGGATAACAAGGTGGAGAGCTGGATGAACACAGCAGGCCAAGCAGCATCAGAGGAGCAGGAAAGCTGACGTTTTGGGTCTTGACCTTACTTCAGAAAATCGTAGAAAGATGGGAGTTGCCCTCTTAACTAACATTCCCATCCGTCCTAGTTTCATGTTCTCCTGGACCAGCCAAAGGAGGGTGGACTGCCTCAGATGATAGACCCCTTTTACAACTAGTCTCACAGTTGATCAGCTTTCTCCCCTGGGTTACAAGCAGAGACCAGTAGCTCAAAAATTGGATAAGGTTGACTTGAGTCGAAGCACATCGCGGACTCATCTGCTTTTACTTCTTTCTCTTTCTCTGATTTTGTTTACTTTAACCTTATTTACCTTCTGTGGAGAGCACCTGGCAGCTTCAGCAGTGGCTGCGTTGCCAAGATCGGCCCAGCGCGGTCTCATGGCAATGACGCCATTGGTAGAGGCAAGATGGCGCTGAAGAATGGCAACACGGTTCTGCGGTGGCAGCAGGGTGAGGGGACTCGTGCTGGCGAAGGTCTCAGTGTTGGGGAGGAAGACTGTGGATCCAGGCCCATGGCTAAGCACTTAAGAAGGACTGTAATGCTAAACTCTTAACTTTATTTCTTCACTTTGTACTTAAGATTTTGTATCTAGGTACGTTTGTATCCAAGATGGCGCCGGAGGATGGCGACCTTGTACACTTTTCACTGTACTCTGTATCCCTGTATTTGAGTCCATGTGACAATAAAACCTACTCTAATTCTGATTTGTTCCACTGTTGAGCTTGGAAATCCAGTGGTGTGTGCTGTTAGATTTCAGGGGTATCCTAGATCAATGTTTTGTTAGTGAAATCACTGTTTAAACACAGAGTCCAATCTTTGAAACCTTATAAACCCTCAAGGGAACAATGTTGCCATGGTAAAAGTGAGAAGGTGATTGCACAGATTGAATGGTATGATCAATGATTGTGACTTGACTCATCAGGTTGAATATTTTTACTTTAGCTTCAATGTTCTTATTTAAAAATATAAACCAAACTGTTGGAGGATCTGGGCTACAACCAGAATAACATCTGCCAAAGATCCTTGTAAGCAATATCACACTGTAAAGTGACTAGAGCAGAAGTCTCTGTAGCCTACTAACGGGAGGTGAATAAGCACTCTGCTGTCATGTTTTACATAAATGCTTGGGAGCAGGTCCCGAGAGTTAGTTAACAGGAGTAAGTTTTCAAATGGCATATATTTAATAGACTTGTTCTCTTTCTCATTTCTGTTTCTAAAGTTGTTCGTCTCCCTCTTCCACCATGTAGAGGTTAGGTGCTGGACCTTTTCCCAGGCATCTATTGTATCCGACTGCTGTGATGCGCATTCATAAAGCTTCCAGTTCTCCTTCCTTGAGCCCTATCAAATCCCCCATACTGCACAACAGGCTACCTTTTTATTGCCAACTCCTGCTGTATCATGTAACCTCAACAATTGCTAGGGTGACTTGGCAATTCTCCCATATTCTCCACCTCATGCTGAGCACTCGTGTGTGTCTGCTTGTGGTTTCCATGATAACTCTGCTACTAACATCAAAAGTTCAGTGTTGTCGCCCCTTTTCTATCCTTCACCAGTGGGTGAAAACAAGGGGAGATAGTGGTAATGTTGCTAGATTAGTATTTCAGCATCTCACATTACTGTTTTGGGAAGGTAGTTTCAAATCCCAACACGGCAGGTTTGAATTTAATAAAAATCTGGAACTGAAAGCTAGCCTTGGATTGTTGTAAAAACCTACCTAATGTCCTTTAGGGGAGGAAATTTTTCAACTTTACCATAAAGATATGGCTTACATGTGACTCTAAATATGGTTGACTCTTAACCACCCTCTGAAATGGCTACTAACAGGACATTCAGTTCAAGGGCAGTAAATGCTGGCCCAGCCTACATCCAGTGAATTAAAAGAGAAACTACTGAAGAAAGAGACTATTTAGCCCGGCAAAAACAAGAAGAACCTTTTGAAGCTGTGGTGTTAGAAGCGTTTTGTCATTGGTGACATGAAGGATGGATAAATCCCTTTTATCATTTTTTTTTGGCTTTTACGTTAGAAGCTTCTCGCTCTTTGTGCACATTCTCTGCAGCCATTAAATTGTATTCTTCCCTTTATTCCAGTACTGAAATGCAATTTGTATGGTATGTTCTGCCTGTAATGTATGCAAAACAAAACTTTTAACGGTACAGGTAGTTCTTGTCTAACACAATAGTTGCATTCTTGTGTGACCTTGCGCTATAGAAAATTGTCAAAGAAAATCACGTTATAGGGAAATCACTATACTGTACAGTAGAAAGATTGCGTTATCCAAACAGCGTCCACTATTCATCAGTTACGTTACAGCCAATTCATGTTAACGAAACACATATTATAGCAGAAATACCTGTACCTGGGTCTTTTCTCCAGGGTAGGGGAGTCCAAAACTAGAGGGCGCAGGTTTAAGGTGAGATCAGAAAGATTTAAAAGGGAACTAACTGGCAACTTTTTCATGCAGAGGGTGGTGCGTGTATGGAATGAGCTGCCAGAGGAAGTGGTAGAGACTTGTACAATTACAACATTTAAAAGGCACCTAAATGGGTATGTGAAAAGGAAGGGTTTAGAGGGATGTGGGCCAAATGCTGGCAAATAGGACTATGTTAATTTAGGATGTCTGATCGGCATGGACAAGTTGGACCGATGGGTCTGTTTCCATGCTGTACGTCTATGTGACAATAATAAATCAAATCAAATCAAAAAGTTGGAGAAATTGAAGTACTGTTAATGTAGAATATATTCGGGTGGTAGA